TACTTTCAATATGTGCACTCAACTTTTAAAATTGCCTGAAAAGTTGCAAATTCTTTAAATTCGAAAACGGTCACAAGATGCCAATTCTATGATTTGGACTTAGATACCCCCACTACACCTCTAAATGTCTTTTGTGGCATAGTTTATTAATAGCTAGAGACACAAAGTAATGTTACCAATCAGTTTAGTGAAGAGAACATGCATTCAAATTCTAAAAACTATTAAAGAATCACCTAAATCATCTACAAGATAAAAAATGGAATATCCTATAATTAAGTATAAACTATAATCGATTTAATTTCATTTAATTCTTCTTCTATCAAATATATTCCAGCTAAATCCGTTCAATGAATCTACATTTCGTATTTTCATATTCACAACGCGTAAATTCAAATAAACAATTCAGAGATGGAATTCACTGTACATATCCCCGAGGCCCACGTTCATCGCAAAAAAACTGTTTTCAATTTATTCCGAGCTTTTTCACCGAACAATAGCGAAGAGTGAACTAAAACCCATAATTTTTATCTTTTATGAAGTATCCAGTTGTAGTGAGTTGAAAAAGTTTTTCCGGTTAACTCTCTGGCAATACGAACTAACCGAGAAAACGATACAAAAGCCGTAGGGAGTGGAAGAAGTGGAAAACTCAAGTTTAGCGAAAGCAATATCTTCAGGGCGCAATCATTAAACCCTTGGCAACTTCTTGGACAATGTGTAGGTTAACGGACAAACGAAACAGGGTCTCAAGTGCACGATCGCAGTTTCTTTAATCTTCAACTCTTAAAAGAATGCGATGGTAACTGCATGTATGCATGAGGACCCATTCTTCCAACCGCCACATTCAACTGCTCAAACTCCACTTTTCCGCAAAAAAAATATACGGTTAAACAAAATATCGACAAAGAAAATTCTTCATTCGAAGGATTTCTTCTTGTATCAAGGACGATATCAGATTGAATTGTTCAGTCTCTCAGAAAATCAACGAGGAAAAAATAGGCCACACATCCAAAAATCATCCCTACTTAATAGACCATAGGAAAATTAACATTGGTGTATTCTTTCAGGGGTTCATAATTGATGATATGCAATCGAAATATCGCAGTGGGAAATATTACTGATAAAAATATCCGAATATGATTCGAAGGCTATCTTTTCTATCGTTTCTATCCTTTTTTGATAGATTTGTTTTATGGTGATCCTTTATTTCAGTCTCTGATTTGGTTTGTTGAATTCTGTGTTTGTCTAAGTCTGAGTCTTCTCTTCGTTGTATTTTCGCGTACATTTTCAATTGAAATTTGCAAGGTATTGTTTTCATTAGCAACTAATCAGATTCTTCAATCAATCTTACCACCTAATCGCCATTTCGGAACACTAAATCCTTATTTGTTCTTACAAAATTTCATTCGGAATCGACTGTTTATTCGATTATTTCATTATTTTTTCATTTTCAAATATTTCCATTCTGTTGTGATACGTTCCGCCTATGATATTTTTTGTCGCCTACATTATTGCGCGGGATATTATTGTATGAGCTATTTTTCACTTCGGGTTTCGTTTGCATGATATTTTAATGGGAAATCTGGAAAATCGAACCGTAGCAAATGCAGAGTTGCTTTTAGTCTGAATTTTCGTCGGAAATGAACGAAAATTTATCGCTCACATCCTTTTATCTTCGCCCAATCATCCTTAATCCCCAAAATCTTGATGCTTCCCCCGTTATCATTTGTCGCTACCAGCGCCAGATAATTCGAGCGTCCTCATCTGTGACTTCTCAATTTCGATGTAAAATTTTTCCACCACTATTTTCACAAGAGACCCGTGTGTCATCACCGCGAGACGCCTTTGAGAGCGCTCAACGGTTCAGAGTGCTCCAAAAGCTTTGATACATTTCTCCCGTCCCGAGAAACGGAGAATGGATAAAAAACGCAATGAAATACCGCAAGGTAGATGAGGTCACGAATATAGCGGTAAACTATTCCTCCAAGCGTTTCTTTTGTTTTGCTTTTTGTTGTCGCTTTTTTTTTCTTCTGTGAAACATGCTTCGATTCCAGAGGAAGAATGTACGCAACTGTGTTAGTGCATATTCAGGTCAAATCAATATACGAAGGAATTGGAGAAATGTAAATGATATTGAGGACGTGAAACACATACGCTTGTTGATACTTTTTGGAATTGGGAAATGTCAAGTTTGAAGGGGATTATGAGTTTTTGTCAAATTGTTGTCACTCGTGAGGGCTTTACTCTCATCTTTCTTCGAGCCTTCTTTGAGCCTTTTTCGAGGGGCACCGGTGTAAACCTTCAATTTGCTCGGCAAACATCTGCGCCGAATGACGAACGAACTTTCTAGTGAAATAATGATTTACGGGAATATTTCTTCTGCGGTTGAGGTATTGCAACTTGAGAACTATTTGAAACCATTAGCTGGTATATTTCTGAACGGATTTTCCTGTCAATTGATAGATCGATCTGGGATTTCTGTGTCCTTTAATATATGATGGTCTGTAGATTTGTAAGAAAATCTGTCAAGACTTTGGCCATTTGAGAGAATGTCCGGGACCCAACTTACCACTGTCTTGACAATTCGTTCCGTCATTTATCCGCAACGATTGAGAATTTTTAAGGAACAGAACATCGAAATTACGTACCAATCATAACATTGTCGAACGTTAATTAATATTTTATTTGTCAGGCGTAATCAGTCGAAAATTCCCTGTGAAATTTTACTGATTCGGGAAAAATGACTTAACAATTTCGTATTATTTTCAGTGATGAACTTGAAAAATAATTGAACCTCTCAAATTTATTTCCTTCAATTCTTATAAAACTACCGGAGAACAATTCCTCGTTTCGGATTACATGAATTGTTCCATGATTTTCCCTGACTATTTCCCTCAATGTATACTACATTTTCATAAAAATATATTTAAATAAGATATTATACATTCAAGAATATTTTTCCGTGCAGTTCAATACGAGTGGCAACTAAACATATTGTTGTAATAATAACAAAGAATTTGCAACAGGAATTGATCAATATCATTCTGCAAACACCCATTCGTAAATGTATAGTTTAGCCAAGCGAGTCCGTCGACTCTAGTTCATCTGGGAGGATTTTCTCCAATAAGAACATACTTAAGGCGCATTAAGAAAAGATTGCCTTCAGAAGCACACGGCAAAAAACAATGCCAACCCCCTATTAATTTTTCCCCAAAAACCACGTTTTCCTCTTCAGTTACCATAATAAAAGGTTGAAAACTTGAATTGATGATTCAATAGGAAGAAACTCTCGTAAAGGCTTCATTCAACAGCTTAAGACCAACTCCAGCCATTTTATTTCCGCAAATCTCATCAACTAATTCACTTCACGTTCAAGACATTGAACATTAGTGGTTTAATCATAAACCACTTTACTTTTTCATCCCACTATAGCTTTTATCCCCGTAAAATCCCCCAAACCTTTACCTTGGAATTAATTTTAACGGTTTCACCGAAGATTTTATTTCCATCTATCAATATTTAAAGAGGTAATTCAAATTTATGGAGATAATTCTGCGGGTGAAATTTATTTTCCCTTTTTAATGAATTTTCAAATAAGGCTACGGGATAATTGTAAAACTCATCAGAGCGGATATTCAACAACATATGTATGATGTTGTCTTTCGTTATGTACCTATTCCACTCGTCGGCTATTTCCATCTGTGTAAATATCACCCGGTGTAATCGAATATTGAAGCAGAAACATCATACTAGGATTCAAAGGATTCCCGTTTTGTGTCATAGAAACTCTATACTCATCACGTAAATAAAAATTGCGATAAAAATGTCAGGACAACATCAAAGGCAGAAGCTTCAAATGAAAATAGTAATTTAAAAGAGAGTAATTATTTAAAATTTTCTATACGAAAAGTACTGCAGGAAAATTACAGATTTCACAAAAACATTCAGGATTTCATGAAAGCCAACGAAAATTACATATTTCAGTACAATTCCGTGAAAATAGATTAAATCCGTTGAACTGAGATTCCGTTAATGACTTGAATTCAATTTGAAGGAAGATCATTACATCATAAATTATCTTTTAGTATCGATTAAAGGCGTGTAGTTTTACGGAAATTTTCTGAAGCATAAATAAAACCAAAATTTTATAAGAGTGAATGGAGATAAGATAAGAATAGAGGAAAATTCAATGTAATTTAGTGCTGAATAAGAGATATTTAATAAATTTAATAAATTTTTAATAAGAAATATTTCCATGAAAAAGAATAACTGTAGAATATTTTGCTGTATGTACGTATTAACTCATCAGTCCTTGGAATTTTTAACTGAACCCTCACATTCAACGAGTACTTTTCCACCTAAACCTCACTAAACTGCTCATAAAATTCAATTTTTCTCAAGACTATGTGGACCGTACGAAAAAAAGCACTTGAAAAGCCCATCACTGACGAGAAGCCACTAGTAAAGTAAAATCCCTACTATACGTTTGCGATTTCAATTTAACGACAGTGAAAAGCAAGAGAATTCCGAACTATCACAGGATAAAACTCCCTCCTCCATTTTTATGAAGTCGGTATTAAAAAAGCCGTGCGATCTAGTACCCGAGGATGCAGCAATACAAAGTCTGAGACCACTAGATTTCAACGTCGTCACCTCGAGCAATAATACCAAGTTTGTTGCACGGCATCGCAAAGATAACAATAAATCGTATCAATAAAAGAGAGTGAAAAACTCCAACAGAGTTTCATTAGAGATCTCAATTCTTCCGATTCATAAAGCCAACGGTATCAAATCCCCCGAAGAGCATTAGCCTCGATGAGAAAACCTCAACGAAATGCGTAATCAGGAGAGAAGTGTCTACAGTCCAATACTCAAGACGACTTTTATCTTTTGCCGATGTTGAAATCAGTTGATTACAAACTGGGATTGTCCAACATCAAATGAGAATCGAGTATTAAGAAAGATGAAATCATTTGTTCTTCTTCTTCTGTGCACTTCTCAATTATGCTAGAGTGCTAGATAAAAGACGTCTTCCACTTCAAGGAGCATTAAGTGCGGTTGAGAACAATTCATAAGTGATTCTTTATTCACAAACTGTGACTTTTCACATTTTTTGACAATCAGCCAGAGAGCAGAGCACCGACAATGACCCAGTTGTACTGACACCTGTATGTCTTTTTCAACCAAATAAATTACTTAAATTATCAGTTATCTTCAGACGAATATTTATTTAAAAACTTTTTTTTGACTGACATCAAAACGGAAATAATGAAAATTGAATTACTAGAAGTATTTTGTTAATCCGTTTTTTAGAAATTATTTGGGGTGATTTCGATGGGCCAATAATTTAATTGGCAGCTTATATTGATGAACAGTGTTATAATTGTTGGTGAGCAACCGTGACGGTCATGTGATGGAGTAAAGATGACGATTTCGCGAATCATCGCCACCATTGATCGAGGATCACCAAGAATATCATAACAATATAACAATATGAGGAGTAAGTTTAATGACAAACTGTTGTTTCCCCATTTTTAAACTGCTCTACGAAAACATGAACATTTGTTTTAAAAAGTTTAATGAACAGTGCTTATACTGTTATATTGTTATATCATATATAAATACTTAAAAAAACATGTATTAGTAAGATGTATTCGTAATAACTCATAATCAAAAAATTCTCACCGTCAGAATGACAGCTAACTAGATGATTGTTATATGACAATGGTCAGAATATGGGCAATGAGAATTGAACTTCGGGGGTAATTTACTGAATGTGACAATTTTTAACTAGTGAAATTATCCCTTGAACGGAGGGGGATCGATAATTCTTTCTATTTTACTCGATGTTTATTAATTTAATAATTAAACACAATGAACAAATTGTTGTTGTTGGCCCTGGGTTGAGCCCTACGAATGAGCAAATGATTCAAAAAATAAATTTTTAAAGCTGAAGTACGTTTACTGAGAGTAACTGGGTCATTGGCGGTATGCAGCTTGCAAAATTTTTGCAGTTAATAAATTATGAAGTTTTTTTTTTTCAATACTGTATCACAAAGTTTTTCCATTTACTTGAGGTACCCTATGCACCGTAAGTAGAAACTTTTCACACCGCCATTCTACAACTTCACGCTCTTTTCTCATTCTGTTTCATTCACTCCTCATTTCTAGTTTGCACATTTAATTTTACCTCGGTTGCATCGTTAAACGTGATGACAATTTTAGCAGATGAAAAAGACAACTGTACAAAGTTGAGAGACAAATAAACACCTGATAGAAATTAAATACTGTATATATTTTTTTATACACACACACACATTATTATCATTTATTTAACATAGAAAACTCTTTCGATATTCTCACATAAAAGTTCAAGCATTTTCATTGGTCGGTGGTCGATCGAACATCAAGGATTGAGTACATACCTGGAACAAACAGAAAAATAATCCATTACTATGAAGTTCAATAAGTAAAACCACTTGGATGATAACTTTCGTAATATCTTAATGCTTCGACTTATTATTTCATGATAACAAAATTTATCTCCCGGACTTCCAAACAAGACGTGAGTCGAAAACACACAGATAAAGTGAATTGCAATAAAAAATATCGCCCACTACTTGTTTACTTTCTCTCTAGCTTTCAAGACGGGTCGATTCAATCAGAAAACAAAGAAGAAGACTCATGAGTAGGTGGAAAACAATCAAAACATTCTCTCAACAGCCTTGAATAAAAAGAAAAACAATTATCACTGAAAGCTCGCTGAACACCGATAAAAGGTCCGAGAAAAAAGGGTTTCAGGAATGAGGTGATAGTAGAATAAGGGAAAGCTTTCGATGGCAAAAAAAAAGAGGATGGGACATTATTAATGACGATGTCGCTGCAAGAGGTTTCACAGCCAGCAAAAAATATGCGGACGGTCCTTCCGCGGTTTAGACGAAAATCGCATCAGCTCGTACTTTTTTTCGTACTTGAAGAATTATTAATGGTGTCGTGGCACTTGTCAGTGCACTATCGCACAATTGTCCAGATCGTTGTTTTCACTGATAATGCGATACATATTTCGATATCGCTGTGGTTTTGAAGATGTGATGATGAAAAAGTTTCAAGTGCAGTGCGTCTGTTTTAATTATGAGAAATACTAAGTACAAATTATGAAATGATTCAGGTTATCCGAAACAAGAAACAATTGTCCAGCATTTATGTATGGATGAAAGAAAATAGATCTGAAAGGTTCAATAATTCCTCAAGTTCATCTCTAAAAAAAGTAAAAAATTATGAGGTAATTTTCTGTGAATAAATAAAATCTTATATCAATCTTGACTTATAGTGGCTGAAAATAAAGAACTCATAAACGTTCAAACAATTTTTATGAGGATGATGTATTCTTTCTGCGTTTTGTTCTGTAAAATTTCCCAATCGTTTGATAAATATCGTGGAACGACTTGATGTCAACACAGCGGTCATTTTTACGAGATGTGTCGTACAATTCAAATGACAACTCGTACAGTTTTTATTCTAAGTCACTTTTTATTGGAGTTCATTTCACTCGCGCATGACACTTCCTATCATGATTGAGACGTTCTTCCTCTAGTAATTCCTATTGCATTTTTCTCTCTGTGTACTTGACACATAGGATGAAACGCTGGATTTTGATTGCGGTTAATTAACATAAATCATAATTAATTAATTAACATAACAAAAATCATGATTGAAAATTTCAGAATTTTCGATTTCTTTTCAATACAAATTAATCGTCCCAAACTACTGAAACAATGAGGGATAAGCGTGACAGACTTTCGAGGTATCGATAGTCTCGATCTTTGTTCTTTTCATAATACGAGAACGAACGCGCGCTAGAGCGCGCTGTAATTATAAAAATCGCGATTAAAAATTGTTAATTTAAATGAGTTCCAAATTCAAATTAGCCGCCTCAGATGACTGAACCAATGAGGAATACGCGTGACAGAGTTTCGAGATATTGATAGTCTCGATGTTTATCCTTTTTAGGATAGGAATAAAAATTGTTAATTTAAATGAGTTCCAAATTCAAATTAGCCGCCTCAGATGACTGAACCAATGAGGAATAAGCGTGATAGAGTTTCGAGATATCGATAGTCTCGATGTTTGTCCTTTTTATAATAGGAGGATAGGAGGATGGGATATATGACACCCCGCGGTTATTTGAATACCTTTGTGCTTGACTAAAGAATTACGTCGGAATTTTTGAATCCCGCAAACGTATGTATCATGTAATCATGTGAATCGATCAGTCAATCAGTGTAAATTTAGTCTTTTGGAATAATGATGGATACCTCGACTTAGATGGTGAGAATCAATCTTCTGAAAAAACAGAATTCCTCATTGTTTCGTTAAACTCGCCACGAGATTTCCTGCAGATTTTCCATGTTATTGGTCAAACGGTTCCGCGATCTGTCATCCATAATTTCCGTTCATGCGATGAGATGAGAGTAAAGAATGCATTTGCGACCGCCAAGAATCTGATAATCACGTGATAGATTTCCGGTACTTTCCAATGATCGATACGCGGATGTGTGTGGGACCCATCAATCTTCTCTCCCGCCATTGGTGGAGATGTTTAAAGAAAGAGAAGAGGTGGTGTGTCGTTGGCAAGTCGATGTGCCTGACGAATGAAACGCATTAGTGGCAGAACCACCCGTGCTTTCACCTCTTTTCCGGTGCACCCAGAGTGCCATGGAAAAAGAAGATTTTCACGAAAAGCTTCACATATCCCAATAACAAGGTCGATTACGCAGCACAGGAACTGACGGATTATGCGAAGAAATCAGTCATCATCTGATGACAATAAAAGAAGCATGATGGAGCCCTCTGGACGTTTAATAAATCGATGGAAAAAAGCGTAGCACAGCGAAATGACAGGGCGGGCAAACCACAGTCTGGCTAATCGCTGTTTTATGTTTCCTGCAATTTGTTGGATACAAAGCTGAAGGGAACGAGTTGGAACAACAGTTGTAAAAAAAAGTACGGAATAAAGTCGAAACGAGGTTGAATGGTGTATAGAGGAATGCCCGGACGTGCAGGCTCGCCAGCGATTTCCGCTAGTAGTAATCCACTTCCAATCAGTCCAGGGGGAGCGAGTGGACGAGCAATTAGCCAGCCTTACGACAGGGCTTTGAGCGTTGAAACGATTTTCGAGGGGCAGAGGTGAGGGCATAGTGGAGACGTATAGATATGACCGGGAAACTCTGGCTTTTGGCTACTGGTGTGCTGGAATCATTGGCAAAGTTAGGGAGTGGTGGAGTCTAGGAAACGTCGTATAGAGAGGGTAACGTAACTGCTGGACAACGCCAGCTGGGAATTGCGGTTGACAATTGATTCTGTCGAGTTTTAGTCTCACTTCGGGGTCACTCTCTCTAATTTACCTTGGCATTCTGGAGGTTCTCTGATAAACTGGTATGTCCAGGCTCGATTGGTTATCCACTAACTACCATCATTTTGGCTGACACTTCTAGTTTTGACACAAGGGTAATACTCCCTCCATCGACGATTCAATTTACACGGCAAAGAAATTATTCATGTGATGAAATTGATGAGGAGAGCATTAGGTGGGAGTCATTGCGTTCGAATGCGAGGAACTTTGCAAATCAATTGGTCTGATGACTTTTTTTTTGTGTTGAACTGTCAGTGATGGTGTCGGATTGTTTGGTATCTCATTAACGCATCAAAATGGAAGTGAAGGTTGTTGTCCTGTTACGTTTGAAAGTGACGAGAGTAACCAGTCTGTAGTACTCCGTGCCCATTATAATCAGTTCTCAGAACACTCAAAGTTTTAGACAATCCTGTGCAATCCTATTCACAACTGATCCTTACTCTAATGGTATTAATTTTTATAATAAATTGAAGCTTTTATTAGAGAGAACAGACCAGTAGCAGGAGTTAAATTAACCTCTGGCTCTTCATATTTTCATAATAATTAAGTCCTTTTCTTGGACAGAAAAAATTAGACTTCAATGCAATCAAGTGTCCTGTAACGATTCACTAATTTAAAACAACATAAAACACTTCTAATTGAAACACGAAATAAGCAAAAATATTCAAGAGACTTATAAAATGAAAAATACAATGATGGTAGGACGAACGAATCGTCTTTACTTGATTGTCTTGACAATTAAGTCTTGACAGCCTAGAGAGATTATTAGGGTTGATACATTAGCAATTTTCTAATTGCCATCGTTTTCATCACTGAACAAGTCAAACGACGCTTTTCTCTCATTATTAAATATAATGTGATTCAGATTTTCTCTTGTGTTCCACAAAATTTTTCACAATTATATGTGTGGATGCAGAGTGACTCGGTGGTTACAGGCTGACGGAAACCAAAAATTTACAGGCGGTAACGCAAGAGTGATCTAGAGTCATATGAGTCTGTCAACTACAGGCTATATATCGGTTCATTTTACGTCACACTTTAACAGGCTACGGCCCGTTAAATGCTGAAAACGAGACTAGGCGTCACTTATGGGGCCATGGCCTGTGATCACGATTTCCAGATCATTGAACACGCCCCGAAAATCCCAGCTAATGGGTCTGGGTGACACAAACATCATTCCAATGGTCAACATGTCTAAAGAAAAAGACTTCCTGCGAGAAATTGAATTATTATTACTGACGTATTGCCCTAATCGGTTTGCCGATGTGGTTTAGAATAATAATTATAAATAATGATGACATAATTCGTCATTCTTGTTTATTTTGCATTTTACCAATGTTTATCGATTTTATTGCGTTGTATTGGAGAATATCAAGCTAGAAGACCTTGCAACAGGAAGCATTGGGTTAACCATGTATTTGACATGGATACCCTCAAATTATCTGCCTCCAGTAAGCAACAGCTCAAGCTTAAATTTGATGTTGCAGTGAAGCCACATACGGTTGGCAGGAGTTTCAAGTCATGGAAGTGTCTCCCATTGGAAGAGAATTAATATCAGTGACGAGATGGTTAATTTACATGAGGTTCCTTTCTACTTATTCTCGACTGTAAATTCGATTCTTAAAGCGAAACCTGACATCTTTCTCTTCGGTTTTTATGACAAAACTATGTATATCATTAAGGGCTCGAGTAAAGGAGGGCCGGCTTAAGGACTAGCCGTTTCTCTTTGAGTTAAGAGTTAATGATCAGATTAATAGAGAATTTGGAATTAAGCTGGTTGTCCTTTTCATTGAGCAGTCTTTCATATCTGCACGGTGCCTTATTCGTTGGACAGATACAAAAGGCCATCATGATTGGGTCTCTTCGTCTATTAAGTCTTTATGTAGACCGGGCGATTCTGAATCGCAGTTGACCTCACCCTGTACGTAACGAGGGAACAATGGTATTGCGTAATTAATACAAATTTGTATCGTTTAGTTTACTAGACGAGGTGAAGACCCACCCCTTGAGAAA